TTTTGGGGGGGTTTTTTTTGGGTTTTTTTTTGTTATTTTTATACAGTATACAACAGTAGCACTATAGTATAGAAATCATATATACACAGTACCTGGAAGAAATTACTGTGTGATAATAAAATACTTTACAACAGAGTAGGAACTGTTTTCAGGATTAGTTTACTAATAAAATTTGCCTTTGATGCAATTCACTCCTTTACTTTCCCTCACTTAACTGTTTTTCTAGACTGGCAGACAGAAGGTTTCTCATTGTATCCCTGCTGTCACCTTTCTACTCTCTACTGAACAACAGAAATGAAATTATCTTTTCATACTAGACCTTATCTTTGAATCCATGCACTAGCTTCTTATGCATCAAACTCAAGCTTTCAGACTCTCTAATGTGGTTTCAGCTTGAAACTCAATTTGTCTTCATTATCACTGCCTTGCAGCTCTATTTCTTTTACTGCTATGTCACCTTATTTCATTTTCCTCCTGCTTTGCACCTGTTTTCCAGAAACGCCTTCTGAGTTTGCCCTAATCTCAACACTTTCTTTCCATCGCTGTATGGGTCCTATTGAGTAAGTGGCTGAGAGACAAAGAATGCAAAATGAGATATTGCACCTCTGCCTCTGTACCACGTCTGGATTTCAGTAGTTCTTTCAGTTAAGGAAACCTGAAAAGGACTCTGCTTAGCTTGAGAACATGCTTGCAAAAGACAAAAAAAAAAGTGGCCTCTACCGCACCAGAGAAATACCTGCAGGGCAACCTTAACAACACTGAAGTTCTCAGTTTGCAAAGTTCTATATGGCTCCTAGATCCTCTAACTGCCTTGGCAGAAAAAGTTTCACAGCACTGCTGAGCATCTGGAAAACTCTTTTGAAAGGACTGGTCTGTTTAAGGTCAGCTGGTTTGAAAGTACGACCATTTGCTTTTACCTATATGCAAAGACCAGAAACTCAAAATCAGAATTTTTTTTTTTTTCATGAGAATTGATTGCAGAGTTTAAATCAAAGTAATTGTCTAAATGAACATTAGCTTTAATACACTACCTGAAAGACGATTGACTCCAATCATTCCCGCTGAGCTTGCAATACTAACCAAGTGTCCATGGTTAGAGGCCATCATTGCTGGGAGGAAGGCTTTGTAAGTCTGCAATGTAAGAGAGAGTTGCAATGAAACATTTTACTGAGTAAGCTACATGCTACGATATTTTGAAGGTGGTTTTTTTAAAGAAATTCTCCTTACATTTTAAATAAGCTTCCTAGCTTCCATTATGGGAGACAGAGAGGGGAAAAAATAAAAAAAAATAAAAGAAAAAGAAGGAGTTTGTTGTTTGAACTCTAACCTTCAACTACCAAGCTGGGACTTTCCAGGCCCCACCAGTACCACTTTCTCCTCAACACCACAGACACACAGTCACTTACTGAAAGCTACAGGTATCTTCAGCTAGTTGTTAAGTTTCTTTCAGCCTAAAGCTCAGCAATGTTTCAAATGAGAATTAAGTGTTCACTGCAAATTTTCTAAAAAGGCAAAAATTTGAATTTCATGTCTTCCTTCTATGAAATTCATTTAGAATTTTTTATTGAGGAAGAAACTGAAGCATGTTTTCATATCCCCTTTGCAATTCTTTATGATAGGAACACCATATAGATGACCTGCCTTCCCCAGAGGGAAGAAAAAGCACACCAAGTTACTCATTTTGAACAAAAGCTTAGTATTAAGAGCACTGTCTGAACACGTGGTATTTCTTAACAAAACTATCATAACCACAAAGCAACTAGAACACTAATGGAAATGAACACTTCTCTGTTACTAGAGCAGCAAATTTTAGGCTGGGCTTGCTTCATGTCAATTCATATTGTGGGACTGTAACATATGACTAGCTTCAGAATCTAGCTGATCGTAAACTTCAGTTCTTAAGAGCATTTCTAAATATGAACCAGTTTTGCTTCCATATACCTACCCCAGAAGTTACCGTTCTTCCACCCTTTCTTTGTTTTACAGACTCCCAGGCATAGAAAGTATTCCTTGTATCATTTCTGATTGAACTTACAAGGATCATATCCTTGCATATTTTCCTCAATTCCAAAAGGCAAAATTAAGACTGAAAACATGTTAAAAGGATGTTTTGCTACGTATATGCAAAGTACAGGTATTACCCAGAAGTGTGCCATTACGTTCACTTCCATGGTTTTTTCTGCGAGTGAATCTGGAGACTCAATAAACCTCTTCCCAGTGACGATCCCAGCATTGTTGACTAGGATGCTGACATCGCCAACTTCTTTTTTAACCTAAAACAAAAAGCCTCGAGATATTATGCAATAAACACAAAATATGCTTTCTGAGTGTTATATATGAAAACGTAAGAAATAGAAATATTGTACATTTCAACTAAGTGAAACTTACAATGCTTGTTACAGATCCAAACACCTCAGGTTCTCGCACATTCTCACCTGATGCCTTTTTAGAGCTGAGCTTACAACTGCACTTTCTTTGGAGGTGTGGAGCCCAATAGCTCCACACATGCTTTTCCTTTCAGCACCTCTGGCTCTTGCTGCAACTGTTCTAGACAAGTCCCTGTCGCAGAGAGCTTAGCTAATGCAACAAATATTTTGCTACAGTAAACCCCTCATAAAACCAATGAGCAATTCTGTTTGTAAGGCTATTTCTATGCCACACGGTGAGGCACAGTACATAGATCTCCAGGTGAGTTCACCAGAGTTAGGTACATCAAATCTGTGTGAGGGCTGCAGTAGCTAAACTTTCATTTGTGAGGTTCCTTGCATTATACTCAAATCCTCTTGTGTTTTCCACAAAGCAACTTGAGCACAGAAGCAGTGCTGCCATACGTTTGAAGGCTGAAGCCAGCCTGCACAGTACTTGAGTCTTTTGATGAGCAGAAAGAAAACTGGATTCCCTGTTGACAACATTAATTGCCTGCATCCCAACAGTCCAGGGATTCATCTCTCCCACTGCACAGGGCAGCAGCTACTTAGTACTATCTTAATATTTCAGATATTTCAAGATTCTTTGTGCTGTTTTCCACAGGTTCCACTTCTCCTGACTGCGACTGCTAAACTGACACGTATTACGTAGTAGTTTTTCCACTAGTGGTAACTTTACTTGCATTCCACAGCACACACATGAAGCCAGACTTCCCTACAGCTTTCTAGGGGAGCAGATGGGAGTTTTCTGCCCTCAGTCTGTTGGAATTAGAACGGGCAAATGGTCACTTTTGGTAAGATGTATTCCTCAAAGGCATAGGCAGTGATAAAAAACACCTGTAAAATGAATTTCCTCCGTACTACCTTTTTATTTATTCAAGTATCTTGACTACTTCAAGCAAGAAGTCAGGAACTTAAGAGCTTATCTTACAAACAAAAAGAGTTTTTTACAAGTTTATTTCTCATTAAGACAGCCTAAAAGAATAGCATGTCTCCACTGATACTCGCTCTCAGGCCAACACAAGAAATGAGAAAACTGTAGGAAGGGTAGTAGTTTGTTGTGAAAATTAAACAAAAGCTGTAGGGTTCTGAATAAAGGAAGATTTTAAGACACGTGTTCACAAAAGGCAAAAGCCTTATGAGCTTCTGGGGCTCATGATGCAGAAGCTTCTTTCTAATCCGTCTGCTTCAATTCTAACACTGTACCAGAATCCTTATAAGATTGTTCCCAGAAAATAAGTTGGCTAAAGAATAATATCTACACATTTAGTTCAGCAAGAGGAAGTATAGTTCTCATTTCGACTCCAGACCGAGAACTTTCATGAACAGACTCACTTGAGAGAACAACTTTGGGCCAACTGATATCAAGATATCATGCCATCTCTCAAAAGGAAAATTTAAACATTTAAATGCAGTATTTGAAGTACAGCTCATTAACCTGAGCTATCTGGGAAAAAGGAAATGAGTATTCTACACGTTGTTTAATTTGAGATTTCTGGATCAAGCGCTTAACATGTGCTGATCAGAGCTTTGGGAAACCATGTTGGTTTTACGCCATCTTGCCATACAACTGCAGATCACAGAACCTAATTTCTTAACGGCATTTCCTTTGCTAGGTGCCTACAGAGATTGAAGAAAGCACAAGCAGACAAGGTAGGCTAGCAAACAGTAAAGAATTAAAGGATAATTTACCATCTATCCTTTATTCTAGCTTAACTTCCTCATCTTCCTTGAACTTGTTCCAATCTTGGCTGTGTTTGTTAACTAAGGGTTAAAAAAACAAAACAAAAAGAGAAAGCAGCCTTGGTAGGATGGTACAGAACAGCTTTTATAATCAATTCATCAGCCAGAGCCTCTCTCCACCTCAGAATTGCTCACACATTCTTGCCTATTCCCCTCTCAAAAAGTTGTCACGTAACAATTTAAATATTTCTGATGCAGCACCACATGATCTCCATAGGCAGCCTTAGACAAGTTGTTCCAGTCACCAACCTGACTATGGACCCCCCATCACAAGTTAAAAACAGTATACATTCAGAGACACAAACATAATCATTTTCAATACTGCCTTGTGTTAGATGAGCTAGCAATCCTGGAAGCCTGGACCAGCACCCTAAATTTACCCTTTGAGGCAAGAAACAAATACCCAAAGAAGTGGTCACGCTTCTTTTGCGCAAACAAAAGATGGACAGAGGTGGAGGATGTGGTACACACAGTTTATAACTTGGTGATTGGGGCACTGAAGTTAGATGGGAGAAGGGAAATAACAGAACCTTGATCATCCCATTTCTAACTAGCGTTGAAAACCTGAACAACCTCTTCCTTTACCACCTGTCTCTACTCAGTCCTCCAAAATATATTGGCACTTTGGATGGAATTCAAAGCAGATTTGAGTGCCTTCTTGCAATCCAGACAAATAATTCCAGCTTTACCACACCTCTCTTCATCCTGCTTCCCTACTCAATGTGGCAGCTCTTTCCTCAGCAAATTGGCTTTTTTAACTCCCTTCTCCTCTCAGCTCTCCCCTGTGCACAACAGGGTCAAGATACTCAGCCCAGGCTTCCACACTGCTTTGAAGCCAAGTACGGAAGACCTTTACCAAGCCTTTTCCCTGGCTATTAAGCAGGGGAGGATAGCATCAACTTTCCAGAGCTCTAAACATCTCCATCCCTGCAGCACAGTAAAGTGTGTTCCAGGTGTTTGTTAGGCCCAGGTAAGGCCAGCATTATGCAAACAGCTGATCTGGTTAAACATCTTTTTCAGGGATAAACACTATTTCCTGTCTGCGTTTCTGCATTTGTATTTATGCCTTCACATTGAAGTTTAGTAGTGAACAATTCCTATAATTCCCAAAGAGCATCCCAAAGTTCCTACTTTCTAAGAACCACAAACTGCCTACAAGAGGTGGAAGAAAGCACTGAGTGTTTTATAGGCAGCATTAAATATCACCAGGAAATGTGCTTCTATTCTTGCTCCTCTGCACAGGAAAGAAGATTCTCAGAAGAGTGGAAAACTGGCTGCAAACTCTCATCTTGACTAAAAAGCATGAAAAAGAGTGGATAAGCAAGAAAGTACCATGCATGAGAGATCCTAGAAGTAAAGGTGAGCTCAGATGCAATTTTGCAATATGATAATGAGGAGAGGCTTCTGTTTCCTCACAAGTAGGAAGATCAAAAAACCCAGAGTTGCTTCTCTTTCAAAGCCCCACATTCTTAGAGTTTATCTGAACTAAAGGGAGGAAGGGAGGAAGGGAGGGAGGGGTATAGGTCAGGGAAGGCCACTTCCCTTTTGGGGTTGGGAATTTCTGGAACAGGGATATTAGAAATAATTTTTAAGCTATAGCTCTTGATAGCCAAAAGCTGTCCTTCATCCTGTTGGTGCAGGAAATGAGCAAGGGCAGCACATGTGCAGGACTTTTTGGTTTTCTTCCTACTGAAGACTCTTCTTCCTGGTCTCTGTGTGGCTGACAAAGTACCAGAAGCAAGTATTTAAGGTTCACGTACATTTCATTTTGGCTTTGAGACTGTTGTACTGGGCACAAAGTTCAACCATATCCTGCCCTGCCTGCATGAATTTAGTTTTCTACAGTCTTGCAAAACTCCAAGTCATGGCAGGAAGCTGAATCACTGGAGGCAGGGAGAAACAAAACCTGGCACACTGCTGCCTCATGCTGCAAGGGCTGACACTGCACACTATGAGCCGAAGTCTACTATGCCACATTAAGTAAACAGTGTCATCAAGCACTAACTAATACTAAAGTCTTTGTCACGAAAAAGATAGGAAAGTTGTCAGCATGGTTATACATCAGTTGTCAGTAGGACGTGATGTTTCTGAAATAACAGTAGTAGAGTATTTTCTTCTATGTGGATCAGCAGGAGGATTATTACTGGATCAGTTGTTAGAAGATAATAAGTGAGGAACCACGCACCAAGAACCTCTTACCACTTCTGTTTTTATCATCCCTAACCTATGTCACACTCCTGTCTACACCTTCTTCTCCTCTTTATATTTGGCCAGAAAGGCTCTGCTACTGCTTTTCTCCATGAGTCTGAAGTGTCCCTTGAGTCCTCGAAACTGAAAGTTAGTTTCCATCTTCCTCATTCCAGTGTCCTTCACACTACAATAGTCCCCCTCCACTCCTCCCAGTTCAGGGGGAAGCACAGTTACAGGCTTGTAGCGTGACACATGCAATGGCTCTGTGGGGATGGCAGATGTGCAACTTAGCTGGTGTAACAGAGCTGCAAGGGGAACCAAGGGTGATCAGCATCACCAGAATACAAAACCAGTAACACCAGCCTCTAACAAGCTGCAAGTCATGCACAAGCTTATCAGAAAGTTTATTCTAGTCATTTTTGCACAGATAGAAAAAAGCAAAAGCAGAAGGCTAGAGCTTCTTAAACAACATCAAAAGAGGAACGTTATTTCAGCAAACAGATGTTCCTGAAGACAGATTATTTATTTATTTATTTTTTTAAGAATTCATCCTGAGGCAAACACTCGCTGTGGAAACTTTCTAGTCCAACAGTTAAGTTTAGCAACATTTTAAGTAAATGAGAACAGGTTGTTAGAATGGAAACTGTTAAGCAATTTTAGCTTTTGGCAATTCTACTTGTCTGCCCAAAATATCTATCCACGTGCTTTATTTACACAGCTCTTCAGAAAGTAGAGTAAGAAATACTTAAGACTTCAAGATACTTTTATTAATTCTGTTAAGGTGAGTCTGCAAAAATCTATTCACATCCATGGAATTATTTGAAAATTGCCTTTTTACAATGTACGGTGTTTAGGGTTTACTTTTGGTAAAAGGCTGCCAGAATTTGAAATACTGCTTTAGCTTCAATAGATTGATTTTCTACACTTCACCAGTAAATGCTTGCTCAGTAATTGAATGAATGAGAAGCTACCCAGTTGAAATTAGCTACTAAAAAAAAAGAGAACCAGCTTTTTTTATTTTTAAAGGAACGGGTACACAGTCAACTCTAAAAACCAGTATTCTTGAAAGAGGTAGCATGTACAATACATTCTGAATGAATTAACTTTAATCTCTTGCTTTGAAGTCACTAAAACCTATCATACATCATACACACATGCATGCACTCGTCTTAGAATAGTGTCAAAGCCACAAATAAGATACTTTACCTGATCAGCTACTCTGTAGATGTCCTGCCTTTTGCTGCAGTCACAGATGTAAGAGTGTACTCTCGCTGCTCCATTTTCTCTGACCAGTCTACTTGTCTCCTTGAGCCCCTCTGCATTAATGTCCCACAGAACCACTGTGGCTCCAAGGCTGGCAAACTTTAAAGATAAGAGTCTTCCAATGCCATTTCCTGCTCCTGTTATTAATACTATTTCACCACTAACGTTCTTCTTCCGTTTAGGCACAACCAAGAACACCAGCGACTCCAGCAACTGATAAACAAGAAGTCCGATGACTTTGAGCGTTTCCAGGAAGAAGTTCATCTTGAGGCTATTTCTTCAGATACCTGATAAAAGAAAACGTTTACCACATAGAATAAACCATAAAGAGAGAAAATGCAAACATCTATATTTCAAAACTGAAAAATATTTTCAGATCCATTCTAAATATTTTCTCTAGTCTGCTTCCGAGTGTTGTTTCGACACAATATATAGGCTTACACCTGCACATCCGACCCATTTGTCCCATTTCTGTATCATGTCCAGGTTGCTCCTACTCTCACTGATTTACCATTTGGCAGAGGAAGGAAATACCTGCCCTCATCTGCTTTAGAAATTCCCCACCCCTCACATCACGGGTTTCCCTCTCTGCTCTGAGAGAGCGGTGGACTCAAGAACTAGAATTTAAAAAGTGATCGTTGCCCCTTGAGCACCTTAAGCAGAAACGCATGGCAATTACAAATCAAAACTTACGGCTGGATCAAACAACTTCAGTGGTCACAAGCTAATACTTTAGGTCAGGAAAAATCCTTCTTTTAGGACCATGACTTTTTGGCTTCATAGGCACTCCTTATCATCAGGAAGTCACACACAGATCAAGTCATAGTCTCAACACTGCTGGGAAACTGCCAGTGTAGGGAGCTTCAAAATACAACATGCTTATAAATCTCCAAAACACACCAGGTAAATTACTGGCTGTAACTTCTAGCTTTTCAACTACCAGTACTACCATTATTGAGGAGGGCCTGCTTTTGCAACTGAACAGTGTTTTGTTTAGGAATGCATTGCAAAGCTGCTGACTTTCTCCTCTTCACTTCCCTGCATTAAGCTAATGTCACACACAGGCTTGAATCATGCCATCTCAGGTACGTGTTTTAACTTCTCAGTCTGTACTCCTCACAGTAATGTTGACAGCGAGCAGGCATTTAAGTCCTTGAAAGAATGCTATTTATTTCCTAGCATACAAATACTAGGCAGGAAATGCACCCTTGGTCAAAGCAGGTTTTAATCTTTGACTAAGTATGGTATGAAGGATTAGTATCTTCCTTCTTGACTAAAGGTAGAGCACGCTGGCACTTACACTTCAACCTTTAGCACTGTGTCCAGTTTGATCAGATCTCTTAGTTAACATTGGTATCTATGTGTACAGGTAATTGTGTTTGACAAGTGCCAAGAGATAAGTTTCTTAGACCTCTGCTACTCTGAGCAAAGTTCATGAAATTTAGCATGTGGACATACACGTGTAATCATTAAGTCTCAGGTTTTGTACATGGGAAACAAGGCCAGTCCTAAAAAGGCATAGGCCACTGCTAGAACACAGCAAGTTACTGCAGAAAGCTTTCTGGCAGAAACATTAGGACATCTTAAAACTACTCCAATAGCATAAAAACATTTGTCAAAAACATAGTGGGTAGGGA